GGGTTCGGTGCCGGTGCCGCCTACGGTCCCACCTGTGCCTGGTTGGCGCGGTGTTCGCTCTGCGTGCAGGTCGGGTTCTCGTAAGGGGCAGCGGCCCTTTCGCAGTTCGCCCCATTGACGGGGCGATGGGGGGAAGGCTGTCTCTGTTCGCTCACGCCTGGTCTCACGATTTGTGGGCTTTTCGGGTCGTTTCTCGCGGCCTGCGGTGGCGTTGGGTGGCTCCTCCTCCTGCGGGGGGTTCGGGGCTGATGGGGCAGGCTTCCTCTCCTGCGCTCCGTCGGGTCATCTTGGAGTGGGTGCGCTTGGGCGTGGTCGAAACGACTCCGTCCCTCAGGTGGGTATCCCGCCTGTTTCCAGTTTCGAAACGGGACTCTGTGGACCTGTGGTTCATTCTGAACTTGTCCCGTCTGAACCCTTGGGTTTCTTGCCCCTCGTTTCGGATGACCACTCTGTCCCAGGTCCGGCTTCTGTTGGAGCTGGGCTCTTGGATGGTGTCCCTGGGCCTCAAGGACGCGTATTGGCACGTCCCTATTCATGTGGGGTTCCAGGACTGGCTCGGTTTTGTTGTGGGGCGTCAGTGCTACCGCTTTCGTTGTCTCCCCTTCGGGTTGAACCTGGTGCCTCGCGTGCTCACACGCCTTACCTGGGTCGTGGTGACCCGTCTGCATCTGTTAGGTGTTCGGGTGTAGGCTTACCTCGACAACTGGCTGGTTTGGGCTCCCAGTCGGTCTGCGTGTCTGGTCGCCAGGGATTTGGTGGTTTCCCAGTTCGCCGGGTTCGGGTTCCTGGTGAACTGGCGGAAGTCCCATCTGGTGCCCTCCCAGGTTCGGTCCTGGCTGGATCTTGTGGGGGACTCTCGGACCGCTTCCTTGTCTCTTCCTCCGGAGTCTCTCCTTCGGCTGCAGTCTCGCCCGTGTCTGTTTCTGGGGGCTCCCAGGTCACCCGGCAGTTGCTCGAGGGTTTGTGCGGCAGCCTGAACTTTGCGATGTTGGTCTACCCGCCGGGTCGGGTTTGGCTTCGTCGGCTGTTCTGGTTCCTTTAGGGATGTCCATTCCTCCTCTCTTGCGATCGCTGGGTTCGACCCCCGGGGGCTTTGTGTCGGCTGCTGCGTCGCCGGCTTCCTCTTCGGGTTTTTCGGGGTTCAGTGCCTTGGCGTCTGCCCAAGCCCTCGCTCGATGTGTTCGTGGACGCGTCGTCTCTAGGCTGGGGTTTTGTGACCAGTGTTCACCAGGCCGGCCTGGGGCGGTGGGGTCCGTCCTTCCGTCGGGTCCACAGTACGGTGCGGGAGTTCGCGGCGGTATGGTTTGTGCTTCGGAGGGTTCTGATCGCCCGCGGATTGACGATCCGGCTCCATTCAGACTGCTCCCCAGTGGTTCATTGTCTGAACCGAGGGGGTCCGATGTGATCCTTGGCTCTTTGGGGTTGGTCGCTTTGGGTGACTCGTGTGCTGAGTTCTCGGGGTTTGGCTCTCCTGGCGGTTCACATCCGGGGGGGTGTCCAACATCCTGGCGGACGGCCTGTTCAGGTTCGTTCCCCTGTCCACGGAATGGACGGTCGATGCCGACTCGTTCCGTTGGCTCTGCCAGACGTTCGTGCGCCCGGAGGTGGACCTCTTCGCGTCGGCGTGGTCGAGGCGTCTTCCAGTTTACGTGGCGCCCTTCCCCCACTGCGAGGCCGTCGGGATCGACGCTTTTCGCCTGACTGGTCGAGGTGGGGGTTCCTGTACCTCTTTTTCCCGGTTCAGCTACTGCTCCATGTCATGGCTCGCTTCAAGACTTACCAGGGTCGAGTGGTCCTCTTGGCCCCTTGGTGGCCGGCCCACCTGTGGTTTCAGGCGCTGCTTGCCCAGTGTCCAAACCTGGAGGTTTTTCAGCGGCTCCGCCTCTTTCAGGAGATCGGGCCGGTCCGGTACGTGCCTGGTTCGCTCTTCTCCGCGTGTCTTCGCGTTTGGTGTTTTTGACTCGTGTTTATCACCATCTTTATGGTGAGCAGGTGGCTTCCTTGTTGGTTTCTCACTTGCGAGTATCCTCTCGGTGGCAGTATGAAGTTTCCTGGCGGTCCTTCTGGTTCTTTTTGACCCTTCGTCGTTGTTCCTCACTTTCGGTTCAGGTGGTGTTGTCCTTTCTCTCTTGGTTGTTTCAGGACCGTCATCTGATGCCTAATACTGTCGCTTTGTATCGTGTGGCACTGGCGGAGCAGCTGCAACTTGCTTTCGGTATTGATGTTACTTCTGCGCCGTTTTGCAAGCTGTCTCAGGCGTTGTTTCACCTCCGGCCTGCTCATGCGCCGCCGAGCCGTCCTGGTCCTTGGACAGAGTGCTCTCCTATCTTTCCGCTTCTCGGTTTGTTGTGGCCCCTTCGGTTCAAGATTGTTTTGCTAAGGCTCTTTTTCTGTTGACATTAGCCTCTGGGGGTCGCATGGCGGAGCTTCATGCTCTTCTCCGGCACAGAGGTTTTTGCTCCTTTGGTCGTGGTCTTCGGTTTGTTCGTTTGCAGCTGTCTCCCTCTTTTCTGGCGAAGAATGAGACTGCTGCTTTCCGGAGGGGTCCTTGGGTTGTAGATGCTTGGTTTGTCAGGCCGGGGATTCACCATGTGTTGTGTCCGGTTGCGGCCCTCCGCCGTTATCTGCGCGCCACCAGCTTCTGTGTCCGGGGACGCGCTTTGGGTTGATCCGGTTTCCCTTCTTCCCTGTTCGCGGGTTCGGGTCTCTCAGGTCGTCCGTAGGGTTATTAAATCCAGCCAGCCTGCAGTCTATCCCCATGCCCATGACTTTCATAAGTTTGCCGCTCTTGCTGCCATCTTCGGCCATATGTCTTGGGCTGACATTCGGGCACGGGGATTTTGGCGGTTGAAAAGGGTCCTGGCTGCACACTACGTTGTTAACGTTCCTGGGCCCAGTCGGGCCTGTGTTGCTTTAGGTCGGCGGTTGCAGCCCGTTGTCTCGGCTTCGTGTTGAGGAGTGGAGCACCGACCGCCTCCCGGGTAAGTCCCCTTGGTTTTCTTGGTAGTCTTTGGTGAGGTAGCTCCGGGGAGCTGTAGGGGCTCCCCCCAGAAAACCAGCGTTGAATGTAATGAAACGCCATTTTCTGGGTGAGTCCCGGAGGCTCCCCGGCATCCCTCCCGCCCTCCGGTCGGCGTTTTTTCGCGGTTTTTGATATCCAGCCTCAGAACTGGGGCGTGGATCGCCGGCTCGGGGGTCTGGGGCTTCCCCTTTCCCCTACTGGGGAGGGGGGAGCTGTGCAGACATGCGGCGCGGCTCGTGTGATGTCATGCTTGTTTGTTCGTTTTCTCTTTTGGGGAGTTCTGTCCACTCGTTTGTCAATTTTCGTTGTTAACCAGAATAGGGGTTTATTTTGTGGCACTTACCTTTCTGGGTGCCTGTCCCGGTCGGTGGCAGATATAGAATGCTCCAAATCACATGTGCATTTCTATGGGCCATTGCTTCTCGTGCCTCTGTGAGGGGGCCAGGTTCAGGCTCGTGGTCCCTGGTAGGCTAGAACTCCACCCACATCGACTGATGCAAAATAGTTAGGATATCCATATCAGCCATGGATAGCTCCGGGGAGCCTCCGGGACTCACCCAGAAAATGGCGTTTCATTACATTCAATGCTGGTTTTTATTCTGCTTCTCATTCTCCTTTGTTGGACTGAGCTGCTCGACAGTTTCAAGCAGTCAGCCTAATAACAACACCCCTTTCTTGTTACCATTTGCTCGTTCATCCATTGGCCGTCTCTTTGTTTATGAATGGAAAGTAGTCGTCTCATAATTCACAGCTGTTTGTGTTTGCATTACTTGTTTATCACAGCTTCACCCCATTTACTGCTGCTGCAATTATTTAATACCTGCTGTGTATTATATTATATTTTGTTAAGTGTCTTTGGGAAAGTCTGTCATTTTTGCTGGGCTTGACCTGAGGTTATGTTGCTGGTTCTGATGACTGTCAGAGGTGGAGCAAGGAGCTGCTCCCTTGAGTTGGGACAGGCTAACTGGACCTACTCTCCTGGCTTGTGTTTTGAGATGGGCTAGTGGTTTTGGCTTCCCATCAAACAGGAAATGCCCTGAATATCAGGGCATTTCCTGTTTGATGCTGTCTGTTTCTTTTATTGAGGCTCTGTGAAAAAACCCCCAAGGCATTTAGGTTATTGGAGGAAGTTTGTCCTTTGACCCCTGTTTGTTGTTTAGTTCTTGTCCCTGAAAGTCTGTTGCTTTGTAAGAATGTGTTCTCTTATCCCTTGTCTCTGCATAAACTGGACACCACTTCTCTTCTCAGTGGTGTGTTTCTGGGGTCTTTGTTTGTACCTCCTCTCTGCCTCGAGGGTGGCAGACATGCCTTGAAACTTGCTGCAAAACCAAGATGGCAAGTCTAAATTGTATTGATTGTCCTTTATATTCAGGTATTTCTCTGCTTTTTGGGTGCAGTGTTATGTCCTAGTTTAATCTAGGTTGGCAGACTTTTTGTAATAAGTGGCAGTTTTGATGTAATCTGTACACACACTTGATTTGAGGGATACTGCCTCAGTTCTTCAGGTCTTTCTTTCATGACTGCAACAGCGCCCTGTTTACACCTGTCCTGTCCAACACAGCAGGGCTTGATAGCATCACGTTCAGGTATACCAGTTGTCTTCAATGTTGGTGGTGGTGTACTACAGAGGCTTGCACCGGTGATTGCTTGCCTTACTTTCCAAAGAGTAGCCCAATTTCCTTGATGCAATAGCCAAGTTTTATTGCACTATTGTTTTTTGGTGAACTTCCCCAGTTATGTGGTTGATCTCTTGTCCCCTGCTCCTCTCACTATACAGATTTAACCAGATTTTGGTTCTGGTGCCTAGCAAGAGATGAATGGGTCTTGGGAGCATGGTGTGTTGGGCTAAAGTTTGGTGGTACTGGAGCTAAGCTCGGGGAGTTACCAGTCCACTAGAAAAGGAACTTTAATTACATTTAACCTTTTATTTTTTACACTTTAAAGTTTTTATACAGTAGTACTATATTTTGTTTTGTAGCTGCCAGTATTTGTTGTTGGAACAAAACAAGACCAAATTAGTGAATTTCGGACATCTGGAAGAGTAAGGAGCTCGTCTATTGCTGATGAATGTTCTGCTGATGAGATAAATGTAGTAAGTATATAACAACTTTGTAATTCCATTTTTTCAATTAAAAGTTTTCCATTGTGTTGAATTAGTGGTTCTGTTAATTCTTACTTTTTTATCTGTGTTCATTCTCTAACTCCTACAGATTATATCCAATCATTTTCTGGGAAAGATCCATAGGTGGCTTCCTGTTGCTAGCTGCTCTGGATTGCTGTGCACACATCAAATTGCACAAGATCCTTGCAAGACAGTAAAAGCTTTCCAGAGACCAGAAGCCAAAATCTGGTCCCCTCTTAGCAGAGGATTCTAGGTCACTGAGAAAATTATTCTAGGTAACTAGGTTACTGAAAAAATGACCACAAGAAAGATATAGACAAAACAAATAAGAAGGTAAAAGTAAACAAACCAGCGACACAAAGATGTGAGAAACAGCTACAGGGCAGTGAGAAAACGGACAGAAAGAAATTTTGAGAAAGGGATTGCGGACAAATGTAAAACAGAACCAGGTATATTCTATAAATTCATCAACAACAAATTGCAGGTAAAAGATAATATTCAGAGATTGAAAATGAGAAACAGATTCACAGAAAATGAAAAAGAAATGTGTGAAACATTAAACGAACAGTTCCAAAGTGTGTTTGTGCAAAATGAAATCTTCAGACAACTAGACATAATAAGAATTCCAGAGAACAACATAGAGCACATAGACGTGTCTAGAGACGAAGTGGAAAACATGTTCAAGGAGCTAAGTAAGAACAAAGCAGTTGGCATAGATGGAGTTTGACCATGGGTTCTGAGAGAATGTGCACCTGAGCTCAGCATTCCACTTTAACTGATTTTTCAGGCATCCCTGAGTTATAGAAAATATGTGGAAATATGCTAACATAGTTCCAATCTACAAAAGTGGCAGCAGGGAAGACCCCTTCAATTATAGACCTGTATCATTGACAAGTGTAATAGTCAAAATATTGGAAATAACCAGCGTTGAATGTAATGAAACTCCATTTTTTGGGTGAGACCCGGAGGCTATCTGGCGCTATACTGGGCTGATGTGTATATATATTAGACTGTGACAACAGTCAATCGATGGAGTTCTTAGCTTACCGGGGACCACGAGCCAGAAACTGGCTCCCTCAGAGAGGCACGAGGAGCAGTGACCTATAGATACTCCTATGTAGTTGGAAGCTGTCTATGTCTGCCATCTACCAGGTCAGGCACCTAGAAAGGTAGGAATCGCAAAACAAACTACAGCTGGTTAAACATTGCAAACTGAAAGCCAAACGAGCAAACAGAACTCCCCAATCAGAAAAGAAGCAAACAAGCAGGGCGTCACCACAGCCGCCGCGCCATTGTCTGCGCAACTCCCCCCTCCCTAGGAGGGAAAAAGGGTGGGGGGGGGGGATGTTCCCAGACCTCCCATGCCGGCTACCCAACCCCAGTTCAATGGCTGAATATAAAGAATGTGAAAAAAACCCACTGACCTTAGGGAGGGAGGGTTGCCTGGGAGCCTCCAGGTCTCACCCAGAAAATGCGTTTCATTACTACATTCAATGCTGGCTTTCTGTGGAGAGCCCCTCCAGCTACCCGGTGCTACCATCTTGAGGTTATCTTGAGATGATTTCGGGGCTTTTTAGTGTCCCCGCGGCCCGGTCCTCGACCAGGCCTCCACCCCCAGGAAGCAGCTCGTGACAGCTGACTAACACCCAGGTACCTATTATACTGCTAGGTAACAGGGGCATAGGGTGAAAGAAACTCTGCCCATTGTTTCTCGCCGGCGCCTGGGATCGAACCCAGGACCACAGGATCACAAGTCCAGCGTGCTGTCCGCTCGGCCGACCGGCTCCCCTGACCATGGAGAGACCCTCCAGCTACCCGGTGCTACCATGGAGAGACCCTCCAGCTACCCGGTGCTACCATGGAGAGACCCTCCAGTTACCCGGTGCTACCATGGAGAGACCCTCCAGCTACCCGGTGCTACCATGGAGAGCCCCTCCAGCTACCCGGTGCTACCATGGAGAGCCCCTCCAGCTACCCGGTGCTACCATGGAGAGACCCTCCAGCTACCCGGTGCTACCATGGAGAGCCCCTCCAGCTACCCGGTGCTACCATGGAGAGACCCTCCAGCTACCCGGTGCTACCATGGAGAGACCCTCCAGCTACCCGGTGCTACCATGGAGAGCCCCTCCAGCTACCCGGTGCTACCATGGAGAGACCCTCCAGCTACCCGGTGCTACCATGGAGAGACCCTCCAGCTACCCGGTGCTACCATGGAGAGCCCCTCCAGCTACCTGGTGCTACCATGGAGAGCCCCTCCAGCTACCTGGTGCTACCATGGAGAGCCCCTCCAGCTACCTGGTGCTACCATGGAGAGACCCTCCAGCTACCCGGTGCTACCATGGAGAGCCCCTCCAGCTACCTGGTGCTACCATGGAGAGCCCCTCCAGCTACCTGGTGCTACCATGGAGAGCCCCTCCAGCTACCCGGTGCTACCATGGAGAGCCCCTCCAGCTACCCGGTGCTACCATGGAGAGCCCCTCCAGCTACCCGGTGCTACCATGGAGAGCCCCTCCAGCTACCCGGTGCTACCATGGAGAGCCCCTCCAGCTACCCGGTGCTACCATGGAGAGACCCTCCAGCTACCCGGTGCTACCATGGAGAGACCCTCCAGCTACCCGGTGCTACCATGGAGAGCCCCTCCAGCTACCTGGTGCTTCCTAACCAAAGATAAAGGAAAAGAGGGACTTATTCGGGCGGCAGTCACCACTCTCTCCTTAAGTCGAGACAACTGGGTGCAACCTGTGACCCAAGGCTACACATGCCCGAGAAGGGCCTGGAACATTGAGGTACTGTAATGTGCAGCCAGTACCCTGTTCGATCTCCAAAAGCCCCTTGTCCGAATGTCAGCCCAGGACATATTATTAAAAATGGTAGCCAAAGCCACAAGCTTACAAACATCGTGGGCATGGGAATAGACCGCAGGCTGGCTGGACAGAATAACCCTGTGAACCACCTGTGAGAAGCACACCTTGGAACAGGGAAGAAGGGAAACCGGGTCAACCCAAAGCACGTCCCCTGCCACAGAGGCCGTGGTGCACAAGTAACGGCGAAGGGCAGCAACCAGACACATAACATGATGCACCCCCAGACAAACCAACCAAGCATCAACAACCCAAGGACCCCCTTCGGAAAGCAGCAGTCTCATTCTTCGGCAGAAAAGGAGGAGGTGACTGCAAACAAACAAAATGACCACCAGGTCCGAAATAGCAGAAACCCTTGCGCCAGAATTGAGCATGAAGCTCCCCGACCCGCCCCCAGAGGCCAATGCCAACAAGAAAAGAGCTTGAGAAAAATAGTCCCGAATCGAAGGGAGCATGGTGTGGTGTCCACAAACCGAGGAGAAGGGAGAAAAGAGAGCACCCGGTCCAACGACCATGACAGCTCAGGCGGCACATGAGCAGGCGTGGGGTGAAAAAACACCCGAGAAAGCTTGTTGAACGGAGCAGAAGTGACAGCCACCCTGATCGCAAGCGGAAGTGATTCTGCCAGCGCCGCACAATATGAGGCGACAGTATTCGACATATGACGGTCCTGAAAAAAAACAGGACAAAACAACCCGATCAGAAATCAAAGAACCTACAAAGAGTCAAGAAGTACCATAGGGACCGCTAGGAAACTTCATACTACCACCGAGATTAGACTCGCAGGTGGGACACCATCAACGAAGCCATCTGATCACCACACAAGTGGTGATAAACCCGTGTCAAAAAGACCAGACGCGAAGATCGGAGAAGATCGAACCAGACATGTACCGGACCGGACTGATATACTGAAAGAGTTAGAGCCGTGGGTTTGGACACCGAGCAAGCAGCGCCTGAAACCATGGCTGGACCAGTCACCAAGGAGCCTACAGGACCACTCTTCCCTGGGAAGTCTCCAGGAGAGCCAGGATCTGGAGCAACAACCGAACCGGGCGGAAGAGGTACAGGTAATCCTACCTCAATCAGTCCAGTCAAAAGGCATTGACTCCGACGACCTTACAGTCGGGGAAGGGCACCGAATAAATTGGGAGACGCCTTGACTAAGCTGATGCGAAGAGGATCACCTCTGGGCACCCAAACGTCAAAGGCAAAGCAAAAGGAGCGAAGCGTCATCGACCATCCATTCCGTGGACAGGGGGAATGAAACTGGACAGGCTGTCCGCCAGGACGTTGGACACTTCATGGATATGAACAGCCAGGAGAGCCAAACCATGAGAACTCAGGAGATGAGCCACCCAAAGCGACCAGCCCCCAAAGAGCCAAGGACTGCATCAAACCCCCTCTGTTCAGGCAATGAACTACCAGGGAGCAGTCCGAATGGAGCCGAATCGTTGACCCGCGAGTGACATGAATCCTCTGAAGCAAAAGCCACACCGCCGCAAATTCCCACATCCTGCTGTAAGCCCAACAGAAGGGTGGACCCCACCGACCTGGCCGACCTGGTGAGCACTGGTCACAAAGCCCCAGCCGATAGGCGACACATCTGTGAACACATTGAGCAAGGGCTCGGGAAGGCGCCATGGCACTGAACCCCAAAAACCCCGAAAAGGAAGCCAGCATGGTGAAGCTCAGACCCCCACACAGCTGCTTGTGTAACCAACGAGTGACCCGGGTGCCTGCCAAAAATAGCCAAAGGCGGGACTGCAGCCGCAGGAACCCCACTGGAGGGAGAGACAAGGAAGCGGTCTGAGAATCCCACACAAGACCCAGCCAAGTCCGAACCTAAGAGGGAACCAAATGGGACTTCCTCCAGTTCACCAAGAACCTGAACCTGGCGAGCTGGGAAAGAACCAAATCCCTGGCAAGCAGACACGCAGACCGGCTGGAAGCACAGACCAGCCAGTCGTCGAGGTAAGCCAGAACTCGAACCCCTAACAGCTGCAAACGTGTCACCACGACCCGGGTAAGGCTTGTAAAAACACGAGGCGCCAAATGGAAGGCAACGAAAGTGATAAGCTTGCAGCCCCACGACCAAACCGAGGAAGGTCC